ATGTACAATTTTCGGGTACATTGTATGCCTTTAACAACTTTTCCTCGGTCACTCAGACACCCTTTTTTCAGAATTGGTGCGAAACGTTGAACAAGAGACTGATGGATTTTTTCACCATAGGAAGACTGTTTGTCAGTAGTGTCTCCTAGCGCTAATAAAAGCTCAGAATTCAACACACTTGACTCCTCTGGTTTTGTTACCGATGGACTATAAGGAATTGTCTCCTCGACAGTTTCTTTGGTATTATCAGTATTGCATTCCATTAATGGGGTGACATCGTCTTGCGGAGTTCCGTCTATAAGACATAAAACAGGGCTATGTAGGTACATATTGGTGCAGAACAGTACAGTTCCCCCACGTGGTGACCCTCAGTCAACACACAGGATTTTCCTATACGTCATGCTCGACCTTCGTGATACCCTCATAGTGATACCGTCAAAGGCAGCTTAAAGATGTGACTATACGTTTATTAAAACTATTCGGTTATAATAGAATGTATTTCCACTTTAGATACAAATTATAACCTACCTATTCTCGGAATCTGACGATGACGAATACACAATCACTCGTTTCCGTTTCTTAACTGATCTTTCTTATAAAGACTTAATTTTATTTTCGTAATAATTAATCTTTTCGTCAAGTTTTCGTTTAGGCATATTGCCAATTTACACCTTATAATACAAGAAGTGTGTGCTTGTTGCCGCGCACGATAAAAGAATGAGAAAATGGCGCGGATGCGGGAGCGTGTCGGTAAAGAATACTTTTTAAATCTACCTTCCGATATTTTTATCGGATATCGTGCGGAGTTGCCTGTATGGTAAAAGGACTACAGTGTTGTTTCTATATCTGAAGAATGAAGCATATGTAGTATAATTAACTTTAAATGATAATAATTTGACTGGTAAATAAAAAGGCTGTTATAATTGTTTTTACTGTTTAGTAAAAATTGTTCAGCGTTTCAAAATCATCTTAATTTTAAATACATGCAAAGTACAAAATGAAGTACATAGAAATTAGTTCTAAATTATAATATTAGGTCTTTACATACGAATTTTGCGTTTTGTCGTACTGGCCACTTTAATTACAAATATTAGACTGATACAAATACGAGAAAAAAGGAAATAATTTGATATAAGCCTGGAATATTTTTAATCAAGTTTGTGTGCCAATTACAACAAACTATATTTAAGAATCCATATTACTGGAATCCAACAAAAAAAATTACAGGAAATGTAATTTTTATTAAACATTATTTTTAACTTTTTATTTAGTAGTAGTTCAATATGATAAAACTTTATTAAAAGTAGCTCGGTGGCGTAGTGGATAAGCGCCGCGGCCCGCGATCGTAGTCGTTAAGCAACTTTCGCAAGGGTCGGTCACAGGATGGGTGACCAAAAAAATTATTATCTCGAGCTATTCCGTGCTTCGGAAGGCACGTTAAGCCGTTGGTCCCGGCTGCATTTGCAGTCGTCAATACCCTCCAATCCGCATTGGGCCAGCGTGGAGAGTCATGGCCCATCCTCCTTAACCATCCATAAGGAAGGCCTGAGCCCCTGCAGTGGGGACGTAAAAGGGCTGGTGGTGATATTGGTATGCAATATTCCCATGGAAATTTTCATTGGATTCAAAACAAAATATACTTAACGCAATATAGTAATATCGATTGAAGTCGTATTTCATTATTAATATTATTGATTATTTACAAATATTTTTAAATATTTATTGTCCGTGTTTTTTATAAAAATATGAGTTTCCAAATATAATATTAGGAAAATTTATGTATTTTATGGATATAACATAAGTAACAGCGTAAAAATACGTAGAAGTCAATTTTTATGTATTTTGCTTATCGTGCCATTGAGAAATTAAAGGAATTTTATTTTTTTACTTACATTCCGAAAGAAAATGTCGATGGATTAATTCATATATTAAAAAGGAAATATATGATACCCTCGTAATAAAAAAAAACAGCTGTTATGTTTTAATGTTGGATCTCCATACTGAAAGTCGGTATTTGTATCAGGATATATCTCCTCCTTGGTTGGGAATTCCAAATTCAAATTTATACTGCCATTTAAACATGTATTTGTGTTTGTATTTGTGCTTCGTTAGGCGGCATTCATTTGGTTTTTTTCTTCTGTATGTCCTATTTTCGTCACCCAGTATGAAAAATGGAGAACTTGAAATATCGTGTTATTTACGAATACGAGTTCCACCGTGGTACCAGTGCTGCGGAAACGGCTCCAAGGGTAAATGATGTGTATGGCAGTTGTGTTGCAAAAGAAAACACAGTGCGTTTTTGGTTCCAACGTTTTCTTTCTAAAAATTTCGACCTGCAGAACAAACCCCGTGGACGGCCGGAGACCCAAGTTAATAATGAAGAATTGAAGGCTATTGTGGAAGCGGATCTATCGCAAACCAAGCAAATTGGAAAGATTAAAAAGCTTGAAAGTTGGGTACCTCGCGAATTGAGTGAAGCAAACCGGCAAACGCGCATCGACTGCTGCGTTACTTTACTTAACCAGCACAATAATGAAGGGTTTTTAAATCGAATCATTACCTGTGATGCAAAATTCTCTACGATAATCGGAAGCGCTCATCAATGGTTGGACCCTGGCATGCCAGTCAAAAGCTCCAAGCAAAAATTGACCCCAAAAAATTTACTTGTAAGCGTTTGGGTGGACTAGTTTCGGTGTCGTTCATTACAATTTTCTCGAATCTGGCCAAACGATAACGGCGGACGTCTATTGTCAGCAATTGCAAATCATGCTGGAAAAATAGCTGTTAAACAACCGAGGCTGGTCAATCGCTCTACGCCACTGCTACTTCACGACAACGCTAGACCACACACTGCACAAGAGACGGCTACCAGATTAGAAGAGCTTCAATTGGAATGTCTAAGACATCCACCTTACTCCCGGGATCTTGCTCCAACAGATTACCATTTTTTTCGAAATTTGGATAACTTCTTGCAAGGGAAAAACCCCGATGGGGCAGTGCCAATCGCCTTCAAAGATTGTATTGATTCCCGTCCGAATGGTTTTTTTAGTAAGCGAATCGATGAACTACCTATGGGATGGCAATAGTGCATAAGTAACAACGGTTTATACTTTGATTAAATAAATATATTATATCAAAAAATATTCGACTTTTTGTTCCTCCCATACCAAACACCAATTTCATATGTAAGGACCTAATATTTATGTCAGTTACCCTTATGTGTATCACTTATTTTATAAAAACCATTTAAAAAATTTATAATCGGTCAGAACATAGATTTATGATAAATTATATACATATTTATGTATATTTATACAGCGGATAGCGCTACAGCACCACCAGTGATGCGAAACAGAACTAGATTACGTACGATGTGCCCAGCAACATCACAAGGTGCCCAAGTGACTAGTTGGGTAAGTTGACAAATATATTACTCTCGTCGATCTGCCAAACTTTTTAACCGGGCCCAATTCAACTATTGGCCCACGACATGTATATTTAGACCAAAAATGACAGTGTTGTGAAAATGACAGTCTTGAAAATGACAGTAGTTTAAAGAAATAAATATTCTGACTGTTGCCTCTCAATACATCTATGAGAATATTATGTACACAAGAAAACATTACAATTTCTTCACAAAAAAAAGTAATGTTCATAATCTTAACACAAGAAATAAAAATAAACTTGCCGTTCCAAGCTTCAGACTTTAAAAAACCAGAGGATCATTTCTGAGTAAATGTATTGCTATGTTCAATAAAGTACCACAAAATGTATTTGACCATACTACCCATAAATAAATTTCAAATTTTTGTAAGGAATATACTTATGAGTAAAGGCTTTTATAAAGTTGATTATTATTTTAAGGACTGCAATGCATGGAATTAATAGCCTTCGCTCTGTTCTATAACGATTAATTATAGGTATGTACCAACCTATGTCCTACATACTTTGAAACTTGTATTTATTATTGTTCAATATATATATTGTTTTGGTAATGACATGATTTATGAAAATGGCATTACTTATGATAAAAAGCTGGTAAGTTTCTTTCGCTTGTTCTTCTTGTCAGCTAAAAGACGTCCTAAATAAGTGGTAGGGGAAAAAATATTTTTGGATGATTCAAAAGTGCTTGTAACAAGCTTACTTGAATAAAACATTTTCATTTCATTTCAGTGCTGAAAGTGTCAACACTTGGGTGTTACTGCATAGTGCTATAAGTAAATATATTAATTATGATCGACCTTCACTAAGGGTTTAATCATTAATTATTGCTGAATGCTAACCCGCAGCCGATCATAAAGTCCCTGTCTCGCTCACACTCTCAAATTCAACTGTATCTTGCTCGAGTATTGGGCAATATCATGTATGTATGTGAGTGAATATAGATATAGTTTTATAACAGGCGTTTTTGACCAATGCAGTATGCCGTATCTTACCTTTTTAATTTTAATCGAAAGCTGTGCAACAATATTAGCTAAGAACAACTTGTTTCCTACGTATTATAAATATAGAAGTCTTTGCTCCTGACCAGTATCGTTCGTTGATTCACCCAGGTATCAAAGACTAGAGAAAACTCACTCAGTGTTTCAGCCAATTGAGATGATACAAATTGACACTTATAGATAAATTTACCTTTTACAAGGCATATTCCTTCGAGTACTGTCATCAAGCATGCTTTTATATCGATTGAAATGGATCGCATGCCATTTAGAATTAATTCCGACAAGACTCTATGAGGTAGATCCTTTGTTTTTACGAAATTATGAAGTAAATCTTGGATTGGAGGGAGGGGAGGGGAGAGGTAGTGTCAAATGGGAGTGTTCTATTGAAATTATTAACTATATAATTTGCTATCGATTAAAGATTCCCTTTTAATTTGTATGTTATAAAATTTGTTTTCACACATGTTTACGGAATATGATGCAACACTTAAAACTAAATTGGAAAATGCTATTGCTAAAAAGTTGTAATTGTGAATGAAAAAGTATTTAGTGCTCTTTTTTATAGTGGTTATTTAAATAAATACTTAAAATAATCGGATATAAGTAAAATTCAAGTAACGTCATCAAGTGCATTCAATCTAATTTTGTTAATAGTAACCTCAAACTTAAACTTGCCAACGAGTACCTAACAAACTTGAAATGCACAAAATTCTTGAGTTTCAATCTGTTGTTTTGGCAGCGGGAAGAGGCTCTCGTTTGCCAGATGTAGGTGGATCTGTATCAAAATGCCTTCTACCAGTTGGACCCTATCCTGTTTTGTGGTACTCATTAAATATGCTGGAGAAGCTTGGATTACAAGGTAGACAAATTAGATATGAATAGATATACAGTATAATTCATCTTTATTCTACTATTAATCTCATTGATTCTTGTGCTATATTTTCTCCTAGGCACATATACTCTTAATATATTTAGTTGTTGTTGATTGTTTATTTTTAGACCTCCACTGACATCTTATTATTAATTTGAATTCCAGAAACTATGATTGTTGTCTTGGATGAAGATAAATCAAATATATTGAGTGCCTTAGAAAAATGTCCCTTAAAAATTAAATATGATTTGATAGTAATACCATCAGAAGAGGACTGGGGTACTGCTAATTCACTCAAACACATCAGTGGTCTAGTTAATACTGATTTATTAGTTGTCTCTGGAGATTTGATCACAAGTATAAACCTCAATGAAGTATTGAATTTACATAGAAAACATGATGCATCTCTTACTACATTATTTTTTAATAACGGTCCTGAAGAATGGATTGAACTACCTGGATTGAAAACTAAAGTCAAACCAGATAGAGATTTGGTGTGTATAGATAAAGAAACTGAAAGATTAGTTTTTTTGGCTAGCGCTAGTGATTTTGAAGAAAATGTTTCAATACCTAGAATACTTTTAAAAAAGTTTGACAACATAAGCTTGTACAGCAGATTATTAGATGCTCATGTATATGTAATGAAGAAATGGATATTAAATTACATAACAGAATCCGACAAGTTCACTTCATTGAAAGGTGAACTAATACCGCACATAATTAAGAAACAACTTTCCAGAGCCAAAACAGGTGTAGAAAAAAAAGGAACTTCTGAAAAACATGTTGATATGACAAATAATATTTTTGAGTATGCTATAGAAAATGGTTACGAGAGTAAAATAAGAGAAATGTCTTCCTACAGTAATAGTAAGAGAGGCAATTGCAATGATATTATTAGATGTTATGCTCATATACCTAATAAGAACACATTTGGTATTAGAGTTAACACATTGTCATCGTTTTACCTTTCAAATAACAAAGTAAGTATTGTACACCTAAATATAAGACATACTATTATAGTTTGTTGGCATTTGAATTGTATTTTTATTAATTGTAATTAAGGGTTAATAAACTTTCCAAACCTTACAAAAACTTTGTTAATAAATATAAAAATAACATAATAAGAAATTCAGTCTAGGATGAGTTAGACTTGCATGGAGAGTTCTGCACAAACTTTATGAAAACTGTTGACTGCTGACACAGAGATGGTAGTCAATATACATCTTTTTTTTTTAATAACTGCTTGCATCGCTTGCAACAAAAAATTGCTCCTAAGTATGAGAGACATGGTAGAAATCCTGTAAATAATTTACAATTCCGACAATCATCAGGAAAGTTTAAGACATTTTTGAAATTTTTACTTACCTGTCGGAGGCCATAATTGCAAAGTAATTGATTTTTGGTCAATTACTTTGAAATTATGGCCTCAATTAGTTGGTAGTTTCAGGCAAATATATGTTTATATTTTGATTAATTTTGCATTCACAATGCCATATTGAAAAATATTCTTAATGCAAAATGCTTCAAAAATCTACTTGATCCCTGGCACCCTGAGATGGGAATTGAACCCACGACCTTTCGCAACTGATCTTACCGCTCCGGGCGACTGCTCTTACCACTGAGCTACCCATGGGTCATGACCCAACAGGACTGACAAATCTTTCAAGCACTTGTTACTTTTCGCTATAACAGAGCGTATTCTCATCAATCCCTGAACATTAATCCCATCATTCCTATCTCAGGGTGCCAGGGACCAAGTGGATTTTTTAAGCAATTTGTATTAAAAACATGTTAATTGTACAATTGTGTATTGATGTAATTAATGTGAAAATCAACACCATTTCTTATATTTATCAAGTCTGTTTCAATCTTTATATAAGTTTGATTAACATTTCAGATACTGTCCAAATGGGAGGAATTAACTGGCTCTCCTTTAGAGAAAAGATTTCACCCTGAGAGTGATGTAAAAACAAAACAGATAGATGAAAACAGCACAGTAGGAGACAAAACAATTATTAATGAAAAAACTTCAATCAAAAACACTTTCATTGGCGACAACTGCAATATTGAAAACAAAGTCAGATTAACTAATTGTATATTGATGAACAATGTCACAATCAAAGAAGGGTAAGGAAAAATAGTGTTATGTACTGAATAATAATAATTAATATTATTTATTTGAATTTAATTTCATTAAACAACACAGTCAAATTGCTTCACTTGATTTTAAAACTTAATTCATTATGGGTAGTCAATTTGGGAAATTTGACATATTGTGGTAGCCTGACATGCAGTCATGTGTACCCACAATCTTTTGCTTTGCTTTTCAGTAAATTTATAATACTGTAAAAAATATTATAACTTTTTATATGGTGATTTTAATATTCTAGATATTAATTTAAAAAAACCCATAGAAATCTTATAGTAATAAAAGTAATTTAAATCAAATTCAATAATAGATTTATTAATTGTTGTCAACAGGTGTGTACTCCAAGACTGTGTGATATATACAGGAGCCACTGTAGGGAATGGATGCTCACTCCAATACAGCTTGGTGGGACCGCACCACGTACTCCCCGCCTCTACCAATAGCAATCACCAACTGCATGCCGAGACCACAGACAACATGATCACCCTAGGATAATTACATTGATGTATGTTAAAATAATATATTTTATCTATGAAATTTATCTAATTGTATTTCACTTATAGTAACTGACTGAATCTGGGGTATAATTATAAAATCTATCGCAGTTCCTTTTAATTTGACATTTGAAGATATTTACGAACTTCATGCTGCAACTATTTGACATGTGTTTTGAAAAATGTTGAAAAAGGATACCATTAATTTGAAATTTTGTGATGTAAATTTTACTTTTAAGTTATTAAGCTTTTATTGTGTTTCTTATCATTCAAATCGTCATTTGTTCCGAAAGCGATCGCTATTTCTAACGGTACTTAATTTCATAAATTTCTATCTTCTCTCGCCATATCCTTTGAAAGGTATTGCGATATACTATGGAATTAGATTATAAGCCAACATGCCCCCCATCGCATTGTTGCATCTGCAGTTGTTAACACCAATAAGCATTAAGCTTTCATTCTTTCTATTTGATCCCATCTGTAGGGAAGGCCTCTCACACTGCCATGGACACCTGAACTCAACCACAACAGCTCTGCCAAGAGCGAAGAGACAGAAAAAGATAGGAAAGACGTGTATGGTACAATAACAGGCTAATAATGTTCATAATTATATTTTGAACTTATTTATTTAAAATTTATTGCACAAATTAAAATGTACAAATGGCGGACTTAATACCATGGGGCATTCTGTACAAGTCAACGGGAGAGTTGTAGCGGAGAGCTTAAAGAAAAAAGGCAGTGCAACAATGTAACAGAGAGATAAACGGTTTCAATGTGAAAAATAAAATTACAAACTACCAATATCTATTCATATATTTACATACATAACATATATAAATACAAATACTTATAAAGTATTAAGTCTGTCTTAACTGAAAAATATTATTTACGAAAAATGTTAAAAAATCCACTTTAATGCCGTTCATTAATCACGTGATGTTTTTTTAACCCCCCGCCCCCTTGGTGATACATGGTGAGGTTTAAGACTACCCCCCCTCCTCCACCCAAATCACGTGATATATTACTACACCCCCCTCGAACCTTTTGATATTTCGAGATTTCTTACAAACATGACGGCCTTATTAGCAGGCTTCCATCGTTTGGACTGCCACCTAGCTAATGTGACTGGATATCGGACTTCTTGAGAGACAGATCCCTACGAATGGTCGTTGATGGCTACTCGTCGGACCAAATGGCCATTAATGCCGGTGTTCCTCAGGGATCCGTGCTCTCTGCGACCTTATTTTTGCTGCATATAAACGATCTGTTGAAACCCGGTATCTTTGGGTATGCAGACAACAGCACCGTCATGGAGAGGTACATGTCCAGTCCGAGAGTGAGCCCGGCTGAAATCCAGTCTTGCAGAGAAGAAATGGTTGTGCTTCTGAACCTTTCCCTCCAGGCAGTGTCTGATTGGGGCGATGCCAATCTGGTAAGGTTCAACGCCACCAAGACACAGGCGTGTCTTTTCTCCTCCAAAAGGAGGCCGTTTGAGCTGACCCCCGCATTCCGGGATGTAACCGTACCGGTCACGGACCTTGACCTTCTTGGTGTGACTTAATCTTCAACGCTCAATTTTGGCTCATACATTGAGTCTAAAGCTCAGCTAGTTGCGAAGAAACTCTGTATCCTCTCGAAGGTGCGAGGGTACTTCAGGCCGGAACAGCTGCTTATACTATATCAAGCGCAAGTACTGCTCGCACCTTTGAGATGGTTCTGCTAAATACCAGCTTGAAGCGTTGGAGACCATCGAGAGGCGCGCCAAGAGGCTCATTGGAAGCGACGCTCTTTGGAAAAAGAGAGTACAAAGTCTTGAGCATCGCCGCAAAGTCGCTGGTCTATCAGTCTTCTATCGGTTACATTTCGGCGAGTGTACATCGGAATTACATGATTTAATTCCGTCGTCCCCTTTCCACTATCGTACAACCAGGGGTACTGGGAAGCGTCACCGCTTTACTGTGGAGTTTCCACAAACTCGCACCAAGCGATTCGCCTCTACATTCATCGTGCGAACTGCGAAGCTGTGAAATTCGCTACCGGACTCGCTGTTTCCGGACAAATACAGTCAGGGACTGTTCAAGTCAAGAGTAAATCGGTTCCTTCTAGGCAAGCACGCTCCATCTTAGACCACTGCATTGCTTACCATCAGGTGATCTGTGGTCAAGTGCTTGCCTATCTAGAATAATAAAAAAAACCCCTCCCACCCTTTCGAGCCTCACTTGATTAATGGACGACCCCTTTGTCCCTGGCACTCTGAGATGGGACACCCATGACTTTCGCAGTTCGGGCGACTGCTCTAAGTCCTTGGGTATTTTAATAATTTTTCATAAAGAATAAGTATTATTGTTTTTTTTATTTGTAACAAAACATGTTGCTATAGAGAAAGGTATATAAACATTTTCATTGTTAAAAGAATATTTATAAAAAATCCAATTTCAATACTACCACCATCCATCGGCAGTCAAACAAAACTAGTGAAATCGTGACATTCCACTTGTTCTTTTTTCGCAATTATTTACATTTTCCTAGACATCTATTTTGTTATTATTATAATACCCATGATACTATAAGATACAAGCGATGTGGTTCAGGCAATTTACCTGCGCAGTAGGCAAAATGCGAAACACGGGTTAGTACTTCAACATACAGAAACAGAAAGGTCTTGTACATTTTTGTTACGAGCTCCCTCTCTAAAAGGGATCATTAATATTTTGGTTTTACAGTGGTTCTCAACTTCAAGGTAATTACCACCGGAAAGATCGATAACTGTTTGTAGTAGTAACAAAGAGCCCCTTAAAACGCAGGTGAAATTCATCTCTACCTCAAATAACCAACTCTAAAAAGGGCTGGATGAGCGTGCCTGGTCTATCTGGTAAAATTCACTGTGGTTCATCTTTCGCGGATTTCGATTAGATACTGAACCTAAAAATTAAGAACACTGGAGTCATTTTCCAATTTTAAAAGTCCATTCCAAAGGTCCATTTCAAAGGTATAGCCATTGTCATTGCTATCTTTGGAATCAGGTAACGTTTATATTCGCTTTTCTAACAAATGATCATTGATTTTAATGATCAAGAGACATAATCTTTAAAAAAAAATACGATCGCAATGGCTACCACATGTCTTATAGTTGTAGCGTAAAGTTCGAGACTATCGTTTAAATGTAAAATTAAAAGGGATTACGATTAATTTTTAAATTAGATGGCCACAGATTTAATAAATTAAGAATAAAACCATTTGAATGTGAAACACGATTTAAAACATGCTTTAAGCGTAACCAAACGTACCATCAAAAACTGGTGAATACAACTATAAAAATGCTTACGTATTAATAAAGTTTCCTTAATACGTAAAAAGTTGGGGTAAACATATTTTTCCTAATAGGTCATAAGGGGTAACAATAATGAAAAGGTTGAACATCACTAATCTAGACTCAAAATCTACCAAATAATAAATAATCTTCGATCACATCTACAGTACAATATACTCGTAAATCGAACCTTGGCACGAACAGGATTACTCGTTATGCTAATACGAAAGTTACATAGTGAATGAGCTCACGTCTCTTTAAGATATACAAATAAATGGTTATTAATTATATTGACTCACACAAGTCCATAATAATACGAATTAACAGTTTGAGATTAATATTCATATTTATATTGTAACGTTAAAATATCATATATTTCTAATCTAAAATAGTATTCTTATAAAAATAATCAATCGAGTTTTTCTTTGCTAATAAAGTTGCTCAACTAGTCGCTATATTATAACGTCGTTAACCACTATTTATTTCTAAACCTTTAGGTTTGAAACCTAAGGATAAAAGAGATATGGTCAACACTTTTTCTGGCTGGCACAGAGCTTGATATTGCGCTCAATTAAATAAAAATCATTTCAATAAATTTGATATATATCTGCTTACGTGTGTACCTTAAAAAATTTCTAATAATACTTACCTATGTGCCTACTTTTTTGAGCATTCTGATTTTTATTTTAATTATTATATGTTATTTAATAATTTTAATTATTATTATGTTATATGTATCAATAAGTCTTCGTTAATATTAGCTATAAAAATAATGTATTACAAAGCCACGGAAAGTCGCTTCAGCAATGAATGATTACAATAAATGACATCATATTGGAAGTGCAGACAGCCCAAAAACGCCATGCTTGGACCTAATTAAATATTAATCAGCGAGCTATTTCTCCGGATATTTCCCAAGACTTTTGTTACAAGCACTTTCAATAGATTAAAATGCGCACCACGAGCTTGCGCACTGTGTGAGATTCCTAGATTGATCCGACTAGTCTTTACATAGCATTCAGTAATCTTCTATAATATAAAAATGAATCGCAAAATGTGTTGGTAAGCGCATAACTCAACAACGCCTCGACCAATTTGGCCAAATCTTTTTTTAAAATGTTCGTTGAAGTTCAAGGATGGTTTTTACGGGAAAAATTAGAATTATTGCTGGAAAAACCCTAAAAATAGCCCTTTTCTTTTTCCCATACAAATGATTTGTAACTAAAACGTAGTCAATTTGAGCTTTATTGCTATGGTATAAAGTTCATATAAAATTACAAGCACTCACTGTTGTCTAAGCAATGTAGGTGTGTTCCTAACGTCAAAGATCATATCTATCAAAACAATGTGCGTGTGTGCGTTGGAGCACAGAATACATAGTTGGAGGAGTTTAATGTCGCGTTCCGAAACTCGCGTTTCTTTTGTATTAGTTTCGGCACGCGAGATAAAATGCATCAGAATTTTTTTAAATACGTAGGCAAAAAAACTGCCACATTACAAATCTTTTTGACAGGACGAAGTCTGTCGGGTCAGCTAGTAGCATTATAATTATGTAACTCAATTAAATAACTTAGTTGAAGTGATTAGCTTTTACTTATTGCTAGTGCGTACTAACTTCCGTTTAGAAAAACCGACCATGTGCGAGTCTAGAACAAACGTGTTTTTTGCTTAAAATAAGCAAAAACACGTTTGTTTATGGGAGTTTTT